AAAAGATGAGAAAACCCGTACCTCCAGAAAGGAAGAATGTCTTAGGTGTGCTGAGTTTATGCGCTTTAAAGCTCCAAAGATAAATGCGAGTAAGAGTTCCTCGCAGGAAAACAGGGAACTGGACCCTTGGGAGTGGTCCTAGTTTAAGTCTTTCCTCTGCTCTCCAGTTTATAGCTGAGGCTCACACTCTCGGGGGACATTGTTTCCACAACCAGGGTATTTCAGCCTTCATCTTTGAGATATTCCTACTCTTTAACTAAACTCTGACTAATAAATCTACCCCTTGAGGATATTGCAGAAGGAAAATTTTAAAATGGTATTAGTTTGTTTTCCAGAGAAATTGGCTTCATTAAACAAAACAACAAAAAGAGCAAGATTTCTTTAAAAATTACAAACCAAAGACTAAAAGATTAAATACAAACATTATAAAAGGCTTAAGAATAAAAACACAAGCCTTCTTGATTACTCAAAGAAAATTTAAAAGAACAAAAGAAGATGTTACATAATATATATAATACTAAAAAATTAGAATAAAAATCAAAACATATAGAACTTATATCCATAAATGTGGGGGACCAGCAGGTAGCATGGTGGTTAAGGCTCTGGACACTCCCACATGGCCAACAGTGGTTTGACTCCCAGACCTGGTGGCTGGATTTCTCACTTTCTCTCTCTCTCTCTCTCCCTCTCTCTCTCTCTCTCTAGCCAATTTAAATGAATAAATAAATAAAATTAAATAATTATTAAAAAATGTGAATAGGCTTAACTTAGTAAAAGGAAAAAGTACTTTCATTTTCTTAACATGTGTGTGTGTGTGTATGGTGGGAGTACAGTGATTTAGATGGAGTCTTGATGTGTCGTCATCCTCCTGCCTCAGCTTCAAGTAGCTGGGATGACAGGTACCTAACACTGTACCCAGCATTTTAGTGTGAGCGAAAAATATTTACGTAGTCTCCCTTGTGGCCTCAGCTTTCATAACTCCAGCATCTAGTGCATAATATATTAACTGAGCCTATATATATGTATACACAATATATATATATATACATACACACACACACATATACACACACACATACACACACATATATACATATTTTAATTAGAATTGTAAATAAGAAAACCTATACATTTATGTAACAGAGGCACCTATACCAAACCATTTAAAGTGCTAAAGATGAAGAGATGAGAAAAGATATACCAGTCAGAAAAAATAAAATAACTATAAAACTATTAAAATAACATAATAACACTTTAATGATAAAATTTACATTTTACAATAGAGAAAAAATATTAATATCTACATACCAAATAACACAGCAACACGTTTTCTTTTATCTTCTAGAAGTCATGTGCTTTCAGCAGAGAGAGACATAAAGGGAAAAAGTACTCCTGAATGGGGTGTGGTCACACTGTAATTCCTTCTCCTCCATTTCTCCATTCTGTCATGATCATTGGGCATGCTTATATATGTGCCAGGTGGTATTTTCAAGCCACTAGGGCCAGGATTTAAGTCACAGAGTTGGCCATGTGGAATCTGACTTCTTTAACCATTAGGCCATGGGACCAGTGACACAGCAGTCATTTTTTTTTTTTTTTGAGAGGTTTTTGCTATAGGGCATGTGTGCTTGACATAAAGACAGAGAGAGTCAGAGAAACGGAAAGCGAGAAATCACCCCCCTCACCACCCAGGGGGGATGGCCACACTGCAATCCCTTCTCCTCCACTCTCCTCTCAAGATCTTGGGCACGCATGCACACGCATCTGGTGTGAGTTTAAGCCACCGGGTCTGGGATTGAACTGTGGTTGACTACATGGGAGTCCAGCGACATAGCCATTACGCTAACTGCTGGTCCCCACAGCAGTCATTTTTAAAGCAAAATTTACTAGAGAGAAAAGGAGATGTAGAAACACACTAAAAGAAAAAAAATTAACCCTTTCCTTTCAGTACAAGACCAGAGAGGGACAGAGTGAAAGAAAGAGACAGGGAAAGTGAGAAAGGAAGCCGCCAGATTCAGGACTCAAACTGCGGTTGACCAAATGGGAGTCCAGCACCCTTAACTACCACACCACCTGCCAGTCCCACTTCACATAGTCTTATATGATTACTTATTGAACTTTGGACACTGTGGAAAATACACCTTTCTCAAGTGTAGATAAACAGCATCAAAAAATGACCATACGGGCCCAGCAGGGTGGCCCAGCAGCGTTGTTCAGCTGTGAGGCACTGTGCCAGTGGCTCTGAGTCCATATGGAAGATAGTGGGTTCAGTATACTGGTCTACCTGCACGTGCTGGGTGCCCATACCCATGATCTTGGCTGTTAAGGAAGACTAGAAGCAGGGATTTACAGTGTGAGACCCCATTGAAGTTGCTTCTCTTTATTTCCCCTTTTCTCTGTTTCTCACTCTCATGAAATAAATAAACTTAAAAAATTAGGGCCAGCTGATGCCATGGTTAAGGCATATGAATAATCCCATTTGGCCAACTGAGTGGTTTGGTCCCAGACCCAGAGGCTTGAAAAATGTGTCAGGTGTGTGTGTGTGCATGCATGTATGCCCAAAATCCGAAGAAGAGAATGGAGACAGGATTGTGGAATGTCTGTTTCCTCTGGGGGTGGTGTGTATGTGGGGGTAATTTCTCACTTTCTATCTTTCCAGCAATTACAAATGTCCTATAGCAAAACCTTACTACAATAAATAAACTTAAAAATAATTTATCATACATTATGTCACAAAGAAAACAACAAAAAGATCCACAAAGTAAACAACATTCTTAGATCACAGTGCAATGAAACTAGACATTATTAACATTTTTTAAATCAAGCTAGAAATATAATAATTTTCTAAAAAAAATCCTGTCTGAAAAGTAAATTCATATTTGAAGGATAGGATAGAGAGCTTTCAAATTTTCTTCAAGGAGGCATGACACATTTCTAAAACATAATTGTAGGGTTTTTTATATTTTTCTTTTGATATTATAAATGGAGTTTTTCTTACCATAACATCCTCTAACAAGTTCTCGTTTGTGTATAGAAAGGCTATTGACTTATATATGCTAGCTTTATAATTTGCTACTTTATTGAAGTCTTGTATTATTTGAATAGGGTTTATCATTGATTGTCTAGGGTTTTCCAAGCACATAATCACATAATCTGTTAATAGAAACAACTTTAAGCTATTTTCCTTCTAACTTGTACACCTTTGATTTCTAGCTCTTGTCTATTTAAGTTGGTTAATCCAATGTTGAACAGTAGTAGAAATGTAGATTATCTTGTTTTATTCCTAATCTTAGTTGTATTGGGATGGAATTAGGGATATCAGTGTGAATTCATGAACTTTCATACACAGGGAGGGAGAGTTAGGTATATAATTGAACCTAAAAGTCTTGCGCTCCCGAAATCCTGAGGAGCTGGAGAAAGGGATCCTCATCATAAGACTCAGCAAAGGTTACTTCTGTCTCTCTCTGTCTCTCACGTGTGTACATGTGCTCTCTATCATTAAATTTAAAAAGTGAGAGGTCTGTGCGTGTGTATGTCTATGTATGTGCATGTACACAAGTATGTATGTATAAATCAACATGCATCCATGTCTAAGCTTTCTAAACTGAGAGCTGCCAAAGGAATAAAATCTCAGTAGCAATGAGTATACATAATATTCTGATCTTGGATCTCTATTTAAAGAACCAGAGCTCCTTAAAGAAATGGCAACCTGCAGGGGAGGTTGGTAAAATGGTAAAATGTCACACTCTGTGAGGCTGACCCGCATGGGAAGGCTATGGGTTGACAATGGGTTCACATGGGGTACTTCTTGAGTGTACCAGGCATCAGTGTACCCATGATCTGGGGTTGGCAAGGTTGGGTGTGGATTGCTGTGTCAGGATCCTGTTGGAGGTGCTATCTCACTTTCACTCTCTTTTTGTCTTCTTTGTTGAAATAAATAAATAGATGTAAGAAATGTATGATTACAAGGCTGAGAAAGAAACCTGGAATATTTTATTGAGGTCCAAAATAAAGGTGTTTAAAGAATTATGGGAACATACCAAAGGGATATAGCATCCACACTGAAGGTTGGAGGGACTTCCACTGATCAAATCTAGAACAATTATACACACACACACATACACACACATACACATGCATACATCTCTTTATGATAAACCCTAGAAAAAAACAAAATGGGGAAAGTAGAAAATCAATAGCAGACAGATAAAATAATAGTAGTTAAAACAAGAATTATCACTGGGTACTGACATTTCAAAGTTTAGGAATTAATAAGATATTTACATGATCATAAAGGGACCAGCATATGGGGTGGTAGTTAAGGCACACGATGCCACATGGCCAACTCTGTGGTATGAATCCCGGACCAGGTGGACTGAGAAAGCACACAAGAAGTGTACACATGCGTGCCCAAAATCTTGAGAGGAAAAAGAATTGCAGCATGGCCATTCCCCTGAGGGGTGATTTCTCACTTTCTCTCTCTCTCTCTCTATCTCTATAGTGAGCACAAGAACCCCATGGCAAAAAAAAAAAACCAAATCTCGTGCCCAAAATCTTGAGAGGAAAAAGAATTGCAGCATGGCCATTCCCCTGAGGGGTGATTTCTCACTTTCTCTCTCTCTCTCTCTATCTCTATAGTGAGCACAAGAACCCCATGGCAAAAAAAAAAACAAATCTGAAAAAAATTTTTTAAAAAATGTTTAAATCTCACCAAAAGTTGTTTATTAGGGGCCAGCAGGCAGTGTGGTGGTTAAGGCACTGGAATCCCACGTGGCTGACCAGTTTGAATCCCAGACCCAGTGGCTTGAAACTCATACTGAGTGTGTGTGTTTGTGTGTGCCCAAAGTCCTGAAAGGAGAATGGAGGAAACGGAATTGCAGCATGGGCATTCTCCCTGGGGGGTTATTTCTCACTTTCTGTCAGAAGATGTACTAGACTTTGATGTTAAACTAAATAGGCAAGGTAAGTACCTTGCTTACTCCCTCCTGGAGCTTACTCTCTTATGTGCCAGTGAGAGAAAAATAAAATTTGAGATAGGTTAATATGTGAACAGGAATTGTGAACATATAACTGTCTTCAAAAAGTTAATATAGGCACCAGCAGATGGCATAATGGTTATATCTCTGGACTCCTATGGAGTTGACCACAGTTTGTGTCCCAGACCCAGCAGCTTAAAACTCATGCCAGGTGTGTGTGCTTACGTGTCCAAAATCTCAAGAGGAGAATGAAAGAGAAGGGACTGCAATTTGCCCTTCCTGGATGTGTGTTGGGGGGGGTGTGGGAGCGGGGGGAGGGGAGTATGATTTCGCACTTCCTGTCTATCTTTCCTGCAAATGCAAACGCCCTGTAGAAAAACTCTCTACACAACAAGAAAAGTTCATACAAAATTCGCTTTATGAAAGAATGAGGCATGGATTTCAAAAATTTTGCACCCAAATAAACTTGTAATTCTGTTTTTTTCATAACCTTTCTGAAGTCCCCATTGTATAAATGCCAAAAAGATAAAAGAACATTAGTGGAAATAAAGACAAAATTGTTAAAAAGTCATGGTTAACTATAGTTGTTTTGAATGTTGGGTGGAGGACTTTAAATGTATGTGCATTGTAATAAGAGTCCTTCTAGATTTCTATGTAAGGCAGCAAGATTTACACATTAAAATAAGAATTATACTGATTTCCGACATGTTTCCAGCTATGGAATTTTATGGTTTTAACACAAATAATATGCATAGAAGACTTGAACTGGTTGTAGGTTGTGGCCAGGTGGGTCGGAAAATGAAGAATCTATGGACAGGTGGTAGTGACAGTGACACCGGAGCATACGACAAAAAAGCAGAAAAAGCAGTGAGTCTGTAAGGAGGACACGGGCAGGCTGAATGAGGAAACTTAGGAAGATAGAACAAGATAACGTATAGAAAGTCCTTTGAAAACATAATGGCCTATCCAAATGTATTGATATTCACAAAGCTGACCCTACTGCAGTGTACATCTATACCTGAGCTTCTTAGAGATTTTGGACTGTAAAGACTTTTATAAATCCAAGAAGTTATTTTTAAAGAGAACTAAAATAGTTTATGAAAGTACTTTGAAGTTAGTAACCTAAGTAGCTATAAGTAGGCTGAATTTTCTAGACTGAAATCCTCAAGGGGTAGATGCATATCAAAATCTCCTAGAAAGTAGAAAGGCATAGTTTGTGAAAGTATGTTCAATTTCATGTTTGATTTATCTTTATTATATTGTTCATAGTAGTTATTTTATTAACATTTCAGAAATATAATTTCGGTAAATTTGATTATATTTTAATAGTTTGATGACTTTTTTTGTTTTGTTTTGTCTCGGTTTATGCCATAGAGCAC